ACCCTTAATTAGGGCTGCTCGATTATGGCAAAAATGATAATCACGATTATTTTCACTGAAATTGAGATCTCGATTATTTGACGATATTTATTTAACCCTTTAAGACCTACTATAGAACCAAGTCCGCCAGAGCTTATATTATTTTTTTACATGTTGTAGTGCCATTTGTGGGAGCATTTCAAGTTGATACTAATACAACTGTTATAGCCCATATTTTAATAATATGTATGCATTAAGTCCATAGTAACTACATAATTGCAAAAAAGTGCAATAAACTACAAAAAAAATTGAAAATCGCTTTTTGTTTTGTTTTACATATATTTCTACTTGGAGAAATTTAAGAGGTTTATCCCTCAAAACTTTAAATACAAAAAAGTTGCAAAAAATAGTTTACAACAACAGGAAATTTATTTTGAGTGTCTTCATAGTTTTATTTTGGAGATACACCAATTTTTATATACTGCAGGAAAAACGAAAAAAACAATCCTATGATGCAAATTTGCAAAGAAAACAGCATGTGCATCAAAATAAACTATTTCCAGCAGTGCAATTCGAGTTCTAAGCATCCCAGAAACTATTCAGAAAAGTCAAACATGAATAAAAACCAGTATAGGCTTTTAAGGCCTACAAGTAAAAAATAATTTCCAAGTGAATAAAAACTATTCATCCCCGAAAATGACGAGAAAATGGCCAGAGAAATGGGCGGAACATGCGATAGTGTAGCATGCGGTGACGTCTAGTAGTTCACTGTGGGAAGTGTTACGAACAGCTGATCGGAAATCGAGAGCAAAGCGTGTTTCGTGGAAATTATGTTTTTGTTGGCCTGCCAAGCGCTTTTTATGCAGTTTTTGCAAAGCTTTATGTGGAAGGAAACCGTGACCTAGGACAAGCTGATGGCATAAGATGTAAGTACAACTCCTCCGGTTTCATATGCAAAACAAATTATTGCGCTAGTGTTACGATCCAATGTTGTCAGTGTTTTGTGTTAGGCGTGACTGTTATGTGTTTCCTGTTTTACTTTGAAGGTCTGTCTTATCTCAGTGTGTTCAGTTTACGCTTCCTTGTCTCGTCAGTTCTGATTTGCCCCAGCTGTGTTTCCCTCCTGTTGTCCATTCCCTGATTGCTCCCTCTATGTATTTAAGCCCTGTGTTTCAGTTTGTCATGGGTCGTGATCATTGTGGTGTTGGTATCGTAGTTTTGTAAATAGCTGTAAATAGATTTGTAAAGTAGCAATTGAGTAATTTGTTCACCTTGTATATATTGTTCACTGCAGAAGCCTAGTAGGTGTGAGAAGCCATTTTTGTTGATTACATTTTCTCCTGTTTTTCTTGTAGGAAGTTAGGTAAGTGAATTGTCTTTTGTTTGGTTTTTCATTTTGGGTAGGAAAGCGTAGGGACCATTAGGGAGTTTTGTTTGTTATTTTTGGCACTGCTCACTGCTGAAGCAAATAAATGGCTGCTTAGCATTTTAAAAGATACTATTGTTTGGGTTCTTGTTTTGGGTGGAGTGTGGTGGGCCAATGTTTTGTTGCGTTCAGGACACGCCTAGACTTAGAACGTAACATAAACCTCGGACCCTCCAGCGAAGACATTTATGTTACGTTTATGTTACGTTATGTCACACAAAACACTGACAACATTGGATTGTAACACTAGCTTACACGGTTCAGGTTCTACAGGGATTTAAAAATAGTTACACAAAATGGAGCGTGCTGCTCTGACCGGCTTTAAAGGGTTAACAATGACTTTAAAAAATAATATAAAATAGTGTGCAACACCACTGAAGTTTTTTTTCTAATACTTACAGGTTGTTGGCAAAATATCTAACTTTAGGGCTTGTCTGTGGGCTGCATGCTGTTTAGCCACTTGTATTGTTATCGAACACGAGTGTAAAGCTCCTGGCTGTATTTTGTGCTTATTTTCTGAATAGCTACTTATCAATAGTGCAGATCCATATTGCAGCTTGAGACTCAGAAGGTGTCCAATAAGCTTTACCAGTGAGACATGCTCCCTGCGAACCTTAATCAATAATCCCTGTTGGACATTAATTTTTCTGTTTCCTCTCCCATTACCGTCTCACTGTAATATAGTTAGCCCATGGAACTAACTATTGATTATTTTTATATTATTTATCTCCAACCAGTTAGACTGGATAGAGATGTGGAGACAAGTCAATGTTAATGTTTACCGCGTGTTCCCTCGCAGGCCTACGACGACGGATACGGTGGAGAGTATGATGATGAGAGTTATGAAGCCTATGAAGATAACTACAGCAATCAGTCAAAGAGGTAACGTTAACACACACACAGCAGGAAAGGCTTTTTCAACTTTTCTCAGTTACCATCCATCTGTTGTTACAATACAGAATGTTTAAGGTCCACTGTGACCAGCTGGGCCATCACAGGTGTACATTAGAGCAAGAAATCCCCAAACCAACAATGACTTGATCCTAACAGCAAAGCTACAGTATGTGTGTATACTAAAGCCTGATAAAAGTGTGCCAGAGACGTCTGTTGTCTGTTAAAAACACATCAGTGAGCAACTTGAGCAACATGGGCACAGTAGTTAATCCCACATACACCATCATGCTGCTGTAAATATTTAGTGATGCACTAAATCCGCAGCTGAGTCCCCAACAAATGGAGTAAAATTTGTTCAAATTTGCCCAGCTTTTCTAGGAATAACTTAGCCCTTCTGTGGTTGAAGATATGTTTATGACCACTTTTTAAAGATCTGTCTCTTCATTAAGAACTAATAGATAAGGGCTGAGTGACACAGACAGTGGAGAGGACTACTGAGAGATTTTGTAAAAAAGTGTTTGGTCTTGTTGATAATAGAACTGCAGTCCTTTCCCCCCCAAAGAAATCACATTTATTCCTTATTTGACAAAAAAGAAAAGTCGTCTGCAGCTTATTATTTTTTTCTTTGACCCGTGTTTTCGCTTCATCTGCTTTCAGCATTTCAGACTATTATGAATATGGGCAGGGAACCAGTGATGAATCCTACAACAACTATGGTAAGTAGAGCTTATTTTATACCGACAAGAACAGAAATGAGTCACTGTCTTTTTCATGTATCCTCACTTTTCAGTACTGATACTCACTATAAATTGTTGAATCCAGCTAAAATGCAACACAACCCCATTATTAAAAATGAGAAAATGGGTTGATTATTTGATTAGTCGATTCATAAAAATGATTTGGCAGCTGGATGGCTGATTAAATGGTGAAGTCCTTTTTCACCTTGCACTGTGCTCTGCAGTTCCAGGTTCTCAGCTGTAAGAATGTGTTGATTTTCTTTGATCCTGATTTTCTTTAGTTTGTACATCGACCGTTTTTTGGCATCCAGGTCTGAAATCTCGAGTTTTTACAGCTTATAGAAGCCAAATATTTCTCCATTCATCATGGGTTAAGGTAATAAAATACACCATTTAATATGTAATGCTTCAAGGTCATAGGTCAAAAATCAGGGTCATTCGGGAAATTAGGAAAAAGCTTTAGTTTCCCCTGGAACATCTCAAAAATTTATTTGGGGGACAATAATATATCTTTTTCTGAGCTCTTTAAAACATTATTTTTAAGTAAAGACATTTTATGAATACACAATGACACAAAAGAATTAATATTCTACACCAGGGTTTTAATAGTTTTGCAATTTTCATTAGTTTTTATTTTTATTTAGTTTTGACTTCAGATTTTCAATTTTATATCAGTTTTAATTAGTTTTTACCAATTGTTTGCTAGTTTAGTTTATTTTTAATTTTTTTTTGAAAATCCTTAGTTTCAGTTTAGTTTTGATTAGTTTCAGTTATAGTTTTAGTTGTGTTTGCAATAATTAAGTGTAACAAAATCCCAGTTTCATCATATCAGTCATTCTCTTCTGCTTATCCTTGGGTATGTTGCTATTCCAGCTACCATACCCTGCACCCTGGACAGGTCGCCTGTCTGTCGCAGGGCTAACACGCAGAGACAGACAACTCACATTCCCACCTATGGGTTCTTTAAATAAATAAATAAAATAAAGGCAGATGAACAACCATTGATACCAGGCAACTATAAAATGTATATCTTGGCCCCAATGAGACTATTAACTCTTGCAGCACCGGGTGTTCTAATTTTGGTTCAAGTGAATTGATAAACTTTTTGAAGGCAATTGACTCACACAGTTATGTAGATATCCCGTCCTGTTGTCTCGGGATGCATCACGCTGCCTTGCCTGGGGTTAGCTTCTGTTTCTGGGGATGAGGGTTGAGTGTGCTCCCTTACCTTCTCAAGGTAAGCTAGGTTAGCCTTCTTGTGTGAGCTTTTCAAGTGCACTTTAAGGTTTGTGGGATTTTTTCCCTTTAGAAATGTCCCTCATAATTTGTCTCTTTCCACTACAAGACACTTGCTTTATCCAAAACACAGTCATATTCAAAGTAATCCCAAATTGGACTCTGCTTCTCCCGACCTAGAAGATCGGCAGTAACGCGTTACTGTAATCCGATTACTTTTTTCAAGTAACGAGTAAAGTAAGGGATTACTATTGCAAAAACGGTAATTAGATTACCGTTACTTTCCCTAGGAACGCTGCGTTACTGCGTTACTAAAACCGTGATTTTTTTGCGAGAATGTCTCATGACAGTGACGTAAGCGAGTGCGACGTTCGTGACAACAGCTGTGTGCAGATCAACAATGGATATATATCGAGTGCGGGAGAGAGTATGAGCGTGCAGCGTTTAAAGCGTGGAAGTACTGACCTTACTTTGAGTTTGATTCCATAAAAAGTGACAAAAACATTAGTGTCCGTTGTGCGTGGGAAGAAAACTTCTTTTTACAGCGAAAAAAACCCCCTAAACTTCCAAGCAAGCACCGAGTGCGCTACGACGTAATGGGAAATTCACAGAGAAACTCGCGGATTCTTCCACTGACCGCTGCGGCACACCTGCACCAGGGTAAACCTCCGCCTACCCCACTCCTGCTTTACAGGTGAAAATAGAGCAAAGGACCGCTAGTCTTTGATTTTATTTATTTTCTGCTGTGTTTTACTTGCATCTATTTGAAAGAGTGAGTGTAAACACAACAATATTAAATTATGTGCTGGAATGTGCAGAAAATAGGTTTAAATTTAAACAAATTTCTTCCAGTCAGAGAATGTTGCATATAATTAAATTTTTGCTTGATGCATAAAGTTAAAAGATTAAAACTAATAAAACAAGTTTTAAAAAGGGACTTTTCCATTTGATTACATTTTGTATGATGGATTATGAGAAAAAGTAGAATTGGGCTGAAAGATCTATCGCTTTATCACCTTTCAGGTTGTAAATCGTGTTTTTAAAAAGTAACTAAGTAACTATAATTAAACTTTTGAAAATAAGTAATCAGTAAAGTAACGGGATTACTTTTTGGGGGAAGTAATCAGTAATTAGTTACTGATTACTTTTTTCAAGTAACTTGACCAACACTGCTCCCGACTTTTCCTGACATGATTCTGCGCGTGGACGGAGCAACAACACAGACGACTCGACTAACGTACTGCCACCTGCTGGCATAATTAGACAGCAAGAAATAAATCTGGAAACTAAACTTCATTTTCACCCTTGACTATTGTATGACACGCACACATCAATGAAAACTAAACACATTTTTGCTATAAATTAATTTAATTTTAGTTAGTTTTGTGAACACTCATTACAGTTTTAGTTAGTTTTCCTTTTTTTGTTTTTATTTTTATTTCCGTTAACGAAAATGTTTTTTCACTTCTAGTTTTCGTTATTTCGTTAGTTTTCGTTAGTTTTCGTTAACGATAATAACCTTGTTCTACACTACATTTCTATATTAGCAATGCTGACATCAGCACAAGTAATCTGTGAAAAAAACTCTGTCATTATTCAGGATTTCAATATTACCAATACTGACATTAGCATAAAACATAAATGTTTTAGTATAGCCCTTGCCCTTTGGGGGGAGTTGTGCTGTCTGATTGCACTTGTTTAATAAGACATGATGCATATTTCTGTTAATTACACTCTCTTTTAGACTCAAATAGATGATAAACCAGAGTATGCTTCAGGGCTTGGCTAACTTTTCACTGAAAAGTTGCCACTATAAATGGATTCAGTGTTCATTGTTTTTCAGCCAGCTCTCATGTCTGTTATCAAAAAACTACGATGGCGACATCAGAATACAAAACCACAGATAACCACAACCATAATCTACAGATGTGATCAGAAGGGCTGAATGACACAGACAGTGTTGGGCATTTGTTTCATGGTAATTTGGGCTCTTTGTGACTTCTTCAAACTTTTCTTTTTCCAGGGTGGAATGATTATACAGCATACATATTTAATGAGTTTAAAAAGAAAGAATTGGGTCCACAGGTTTGAATTTATTTTGGATTTTCTGTGATCCACACAGGATCAAAAGAGTACATACAGGCTTAAATGTATACCATATCCCCACTGATATTTGGCTAACTGTCCATTAATAAGTTATACCTCAAACAGACACTTTTGGTAGCCATCAGCACTATTTAGGCATAATTGTGGCTGGATAGTTTACCGCTCTTCTTAACAGAATTGATAATGGTCTTTTAAATTGGCTGGTGTCCTGGCATTGAGCCGGCTTTTAAGCACAGGCGAAGGTTGGAGCTTTGGGACGTCCATTAAGTAAGCTTTATGTTGGCCTAATTTATCCATTTCAGAATCAATTTGTTCTGTTTTTGGGATCATTCGACTGTTTCCACAATTCAGCTGCCTAGTTGTTGATCAAAGATATTAATTTGTAGATAGAGGAGGTAGTTCCAAAACAGCCAGACTATGATGCTACCACCAACATGCTTGAAAGTTCCTCCTGTCATTTTGACTAAATAACTCAATCTTTGTCTTGTCTAAAGACAAAACTTCTCCAGACAGCATTTGACTTTTCGATGTGCTCTCTCTTCCCATGGCAATGTCAAACTCACAATACAGTGATGCTGGTGTTTCAGCAGTTTGCAGTTTATGGAGGTTAGTAGATTTATTGATCCTGAACCTTTTCTTTTCATTTAAAGTTGGGTTGGTAAAGTAGTGACACACCCTAATTGTAAACACTTACACATCAAAATTACGTACAATTGTTTCAATTGATGATCTTGGCCCTGAGAGATTTTTCCAACTTGTGTAAATTGTAGAACCTTGAGCACCACTTATTAAAAGATTTAAGTAAGTGTATGTATATATTTGAGCCTGTAATTTTGACTCTGTGTGGATAAGAGAAAATCTACACAGAGTCAAAAATAAATTCAAACTTGTGAACACAAGTCTTTCTTTTGTAAAGTTATTAAAGATCTATGGTGTTCAATTATTACACCTCGGATAAAGAGAAGTTCAAAGAATTCAGTAAAATCCCAAAATTACCATGACATTCATGCCCATGATGAGTGTATACAAGCTGCTGACCACTATTGTAGTATTTTGCTATCGATATAAAGTGAACACTTTTGTATTTTTCACTGTTGTTCACATAAAAACAAATATATTTTGGTTCTTCTGATTTTTTTGTTTGTTTTTTTATTGTTTAAATAATTGAAGCATTACGTAAAAATGAAGATATTGGTTAGATGCAGCCCTAAAGACTCTTTAGAAGAGTTTAATATTGTGGCGACCCACTAGAGGCCTCCACTCACACCCAAGCTGGGAGGAAGGGTTCTGCTGCTGTGTTATATCCCCACAGTCGGACCCCGGTATTCGCCCGCGCATGTCGCCTCAACCCCATGAAACTGTCCGTCGCTCGGGAGGAGTTCGCGGCTATGGAGCGCCTGGGCATTGTGCAACGCTTGAACAGCGCCTGGGCCTCTCCACTTCACATGGTGCCCAAGCCAGATGGGCGGTGGCAACCTTGTGGGGATTTAAATAACATTACAGAGAACAACCGTTACCCGATTCCCCACATCCAGGATTTTTCCGCCCATCTTGCCGGGACCTCGATTTTTTCCAAAATCGATTTGGTGCAGGGATATCACCAAGTGCCAGTGCGCGCTGAGGATGTTCTGAAAACCACTGTCATCACCCCCTTTGGTTTGTTCGAGTTTTTGCGCATGCCGTTTGGGTTGAAAGGTGCCGCCCAGACCTTTCAGCGACTTATGGACTCTGTTTTGCGTGGGCTACCTTTCGTTTTCGTCTGTCTGGATGACATATTAGTGGCCAGCACGAATCCTGATCATGAACCCTTCGAAGTGCCAGTTTGGTTTACCGGTCCTGGATTTCCTGGGGCACCGCATCTCCGATGGTAGCGTGGTCCCGATGCCAGACAAGGTGCAAGCCGTCGCAGCTTTTCCGCGTCCCGCCTCGGGTAAAGCATTGAAGGAGTACCCGTTGACTGGTCCCCTGACCGCCTCCGTGTGTTTTCCGCGGCGAAATCGGCGAAGTCCGGCATCTGGCAGCCCCTCACCTTTTTCAGTCGTTTACTACAGACATTCAGCACGTGGCTAGTAAGCGTTTTGGTCCCCCCCGCTGACATTACCTTGGACAGAGGCCCTCGGTTTGTGTCGGAACTTTGGTCTGCGATGGAAGGTCCACCGCACCACGGCATACCACCCGCAGGCTAACGGGATGTGCGAGCGGTTTGACTAGTCACTCAAGGCCACGCTCCGTGCTTCTTTAACGAGTGGTAACTGGGTCGACCGTCTGAGGCCCCTTTTCTGTCACTGGCCCGGTGCACCACTGCATGCCAGATGTTTTTGTTCAGCAGTCGTTGGAATCTTCTCCTTTCATTTTTGTTTGGCGTGACGCCCATCAACCCCCCTTGCGTCCGCTTTACGACAGCCCGTTTCGGGTTATTGGATCAGGTCCCAAGCATTTTGTTTTGGATTTGGGAGACGGTAGGAGGTAGTTTCAGTGAACCGCCTTAAGCCTGCACACGTTCTGCAGAATGCTCCTGTGGTGCTGGCCCATGCCCCCTGCCGCGACCGCCCACCTGCTGCCGGGACGTTGGACTCTGACCCTCCCTCTGAGATCACTCCGTGCCCGCCGGTGCTCGTCCGGCCAGCAGAGGGTTCGGCATGTCTTTCCTGGCCTGGTGGACCCACAGCCATTTCTCGGACTCCCCGTTTCAGCCGTTCTGGACGTTTGATTAAGCCCCGGGTCCTGGATTGTTTGGGTGTTCAGGGGGGACATGTGTGGCGACCCATTAGAGGGCTCCACTCACACCCAAGCTGGGAGGAAGGGTTCTGCTGTGTTTGGGCGCAATATGCTCAGTTCATGTTTGGAGGTGAATAAAGTTGGAGTGTAAAACTAGAGCTCCTGTGTCGTGTGTCACATGCCTCCATAGTGTCATATTTTTATATGATATCTAGCATCAGTGATTTTTTGATCAGCACTATCCATCATTCTCTATTTTGAGAAGTTTTCACTAAAGACAGTTCCCACTAAAGTATTAGCATTACTAAAGGTAATACCCTACATTCATGGGCAAATAGTAGAATAGAAAGAAAACATTCTCAAAAATTCTTTGATTTGATTTAAAGTAAATCCTGACAAGAAAAAAATGTTGTGTTGACCACACTTTCCTGGCTGACACTGCTGCACTGCTATACAAAAAAAAATTCACAGCCGAGAAAGAAAAAGAAAACTGTGGTTTCGGCCCACTTGCAATCATCTTCACCCAGGGAGCCACTTCTGTGTGCATCAAATTCCTCCTACCTTCCTGGCTCCTCGCTGCATTTGGCCAGAGGAGTAAATGTGCCAGTGGAAGCTCATGGGGCTAACCAGTGCCTATTGCAGAGGTGGACTGTTTTGCCTTTTGGGCATGTGCCTTTAAAGGCTTATTCCAGAAAGCTGTTACTATCGGCTGACTAACCTTTGCTGTGCCCAAAAACAAACTCACGCAAAAAAAAAGAAGAAAAAAATGCCGGTTTGCAATTTCCAAATCAGCACCTGCTCCAAATTTTATAAAGGAGTCTCTGGATTTCAACTAAAAACATTAAGAAACATCTAAAACTGCTATTTAAATAAAATTGCATAAATCACCAGAAGTCGAGTTACAACCTTGTCACATGACAACGGCGATAAGCCGGATGCCACAGCAGGTCTGCGGGCTCATTCATTTTCAGCACAATGAGTTGTGCACTGGGGTGTTGAGGTCAGACCAAACCTAAACCAACGGGGCAATGATTTGATTTTTTGCTTCATAAACACTTTCTTATTTGGGAGCGGTGCGTTGTGCCTCGCAGCAGAGGTGGGCATCTTTATGTAATTTGGCTCGAAGGAAGGAGCTGCTGACAGTCGAATCTCAGTGTTGGTCCGTCAGAGGACAAAGAGCTCATGAAATTAATTTTGTGTGAAGAGAAGCCCCCCATAGTACCTGGGATATAATTTGCTTGCTTAAATTTTCTTGTCTTTGGTAAAATAGATTTAGGAGAGGCTAGAGAAGAGAGACAGTTTGCCTTTGTGACATGACGTTTCCGTTGTGAATGCAGCAGCTTTCTGCAATGCGTTTTTAACTCTTTTTTTCACCGTTTGTTTGCTTTAATCTGCAGAGGAGGAGTGGGGAACTACCCGAGCCAGTCTCAAAGCCCCTGTTTTACGGCTGACGCGAGGAGGCTACAGAAAACATCCTTATGGCAGATACTAAAGGTGGTCCAGACCTCCAATTCTCAGCTATTTATATCTATTTTTTAAATCCATTATAAATGTTGTAACAGTTATTTTATTTTTGGCCCATCTTCTTCAGAAAGTAAAAAGAAAATCCCCACCCCCACCCCCATAAAGCGCATAAAGCAACAATTATTGCAGTATACTGATGTTTGAGCCTTTTTTTTAACAAAAGAGACACTTAACAGTTCTCATCCATATGCAGGAAGGTTGTTCTTGGCTGTTTAAATGCCCTTCATTCCAGCTCCCTCTGCCCTAAAACATTAATCTGCAGATTTATTCTTGTGGGATTTGCGTGACTAGTTGGTTTCCATTTAGTGTCTTTAATGTAGTGATTACTAAGGTTTAATAGCCAACCCCTGTTCACTGTGTTAAAGCAGGCAATCATAGAGCCATAATTTGACTTAGAGAGCCTATCAAAACTCTGCTGCGTCTCTCTACTTGCTTTAATTGCTAAGGAGACTTCGGTGCCCCACATAATAGAGGCATTTTCGTGGTGTTGCAAAACATCCAGTGATGTCATGTCCGTTTTTATCCACCGTGACACGCTACTAGATGTGGAAAACAAGCAAAACTTTTTCTCATTTTAGTTGTGCCTGTTCTTCAAATACGAGTTTGTCTAGGGGGAAATTAGTTTTGCCCTCTTATGCGAGTATTTTTTTTTTAAGTTATTCAAACCCTATTGGCACTTTTTTCCTAATTTGGAAAACGGCCCACAAAATCCAGCTTAGCTCTTTGTCAGTGACTTTACAGGCACGATGAGTCTTTAACCAGCCACAGCTACGGAGAAAATGTGTTCACTTTAAATTTGAAAAAGTCTTTTTTTTTTAAAACTTCAACCTTTCTCCAGAGTTCACTGATTGGTGGCTGCTGTCTGGTTTAAATTACTTCATGGAGAAATTCAAACTGATTTCTTCAAGGCACTTTTTTGATGATTTGGTTTAGTAAAAATAAAAACTGTTGCTTTTCTCTCGCTTTATCTGAACAGAACTAATCTGCAACTTTGATTTGATTTGCAAAAACTATAACTAACCAACGGCAAGTTTAAACACTCCCCACAACACAAATAACATTAAATGCAACAAATGGAAACCTATCCTTGAAGAAGAGTTGAAGACCTGAGTGCAGAGTGTCTAAATGACCTAAAATTTTCTTCTAAAAAAATGTTTAATGTTGAAATATCAGGCAAAATTACCCTAGGCCATGTTGTGACTTTAAATGATACAAAATGATGTGAGATCATGATCGTGCAAAACACAGTTTTGGTTGAAAGCAATGTACAGTGTGTAATTTCTAATGCGTGCTTTGTTCTGTGTGTAATCTGTATTTGTACATAAGGCATTTAATAAAAACAGCATAAACCTCCAACACAGTGTGTAAGACTTTCTAAATAGCAGCCTGTGAAGCATTAAATTGCTATTGTTCTGCAGTTTGTTAACGCGATACGTGACGCAATTCAAGCTTCTTGTTTCTAAAACCTAACATCTGCTTGCAGGTAACGGCTAACTCGTTTCATAAAGAAAACCCACCAACCTGTCCCAAATGAATCATTTGTAAAACACCGTATGTTATCCTTGAATATCTGATCACTTTCTTAAGAAACTAATAAATTTCTGTTCTTAATTCATTCTCTGAAGTTTTACATCATTAAACAGACACTGATTGACTCTGATATGGCGTTTAAAGAGGTAAGAAGTCCTCATATATTATCATAATAATGCCTTAAAAATTCTCAGGATTTGGAGCTTAAAGAAAAGCATGTGGGCAATACGGGATCTAGATGCTGGTATTTACCTTCTGATTGAATGTCATTGCTGAGGGGGGAAAACAACGGCCTCAGCAACTCATCAATGTCTCTGCTAACGCCTTTCTGCATTTCTGTCATTTAACCTGAGAAACCTGCTCTGTAACTTTCCGTTCTTTAAATATCGAAGCTGAGATCTATTTAGCAATTTGAATTCTCTTTTGTGATTAGTACACCTGAAGCCTGACTCTCATTAAGAGTGTAGATCACGGGACTCAAAGGAAGACTAAACACTAAGCAGGTAACCCTAATGATAATCCTAATCTAACCTCCACTTAAAAAAAAGTAAACCTGCCCGTTTTAACCCCAAATAAATGCACTGTTGAATTAAAATCCCTTCCCATCTCTAACTAGATCCACAAGGAATTCAGCTGTTATAAAAGAGAGAATAAATTTTAATAAAAAGACACTAAAATATTGTTCGGCAAACTAAACACCACATCGGTGGTATAAAAGTAATTCTAATAAAATGTCACTTTTATAATACCTTGAATTGGTTTACTTTTTTCACAGTGATGGAATGTAACAAGGCTTGTGTGTAAATATTGCATGCATGCATTCTATACTTGTGGACTGGTGATGATGCATAGGACCGGTTCATTCTTTATAACGCTGATTTGTTCTTCTCCGTAGATAAGGAAACACACCGCGGTGTGTTTTGGTCAAAGAGGAGAGGAATGTAATAGGTGAGTGGAGACACTGTCACGACCTCAGTTGCAGAAATAATCAGTGATTCACACTTTTAACATGTAAATGGGGCATAATTGGGAGAGGATTAGAAAGTTTCTTCACTGGATTCCTTTCGCACATTCAGCAAAAACTCTAAATGCTAACTTGAAATCATAGGTGACACATTAAAACCACCTGAAAATGTTGATGTCTGAATGTTCATTTTAACGTTAGCTCACTATCCACAGTATTATAAACCACATTATGTTTGTTTATATTTCTATGATTAAGAGCAATATTTTCTTGCGGCTGGCTGTGTCACACTTGAGGGATTGAAATATAATTTCCATCTCGTGGAATATTCTGATAGATTCTCTATTAATGCTCGTTTACATTAGCTGTAAGTGTGAGAGCTTTCACAGGTCTGACAGCTCATTAAGAACACAATAAAGCACAGACATGCAATTAAAATAATGGAAACAAAAGATGTATAGGAAGCAGAATCTAACTAAAACTGCAATATAATTAGAAATAATTAATCATCTGATTAGAAGAATGGTAGAGTACTGACTGTATGAGATTGGCTCAGAGTGAAGTATTTGCGCTGCGCAAGGCGAGATGTTAAGGTCAATTGTATGTGCAGAAATGAGGGGGGAGGTTTTGGAGTTGCAGAAAGCAACGTGTGTGTTATTGCCAAGATTATATGCTGTCAGTCTTGCGTGCTTTTGTCTCAGCTGGACCCGTTATTGCACATTTCCTTTCTGCTGTTCAGTAATGCTCTTATTGTATCTCTGTGTGCATTTTTCACTTCAGTTTTTGTTTTATTACTCTGCAAATACAGTTCCGCTTAATCCCTATGGTCAGATACCTGCTGACTTATTCATAACTCGTCCACTTCTATTGACTTTTTTCAATAGAAGGGTGCGTTTTGTAACACCCGTGCATGTCATGCATAACAAGATATATGCACCTTGTGAGATGTAGCATCAGTAGTTGTTTATATTAGTGCTGAATCGTTGAGAATAGAATCGAGAGTTTTCACCTCTCACACTACAATCATTTTTGATTATGCATTTCCACAATAATACACACACAGCTTATTACAGCTGTAGCATATACTAATTATTAACATTGCTTTATCTAAGACCTTCATCGCAACAGTTGCACATACCGTTATGAATGTCATTCATTCATCCAAGGGCAAAAGTCCCCACTGGGAAAAAATACTGCTTTTAATCAAGGACAAAAACTGTTTCTATTAGTCTCTAATTCTTTTTATTATTATTATTATTATTATTATTATTATTATTATTATTATTATTATTATTATTATTATTATTATACCCAACCAGTTTATTACGTACACCTTTTCAACTGCTCATTAACACAAATATCTAATCACAGCCAAATGGCAGATACCCAGTGCATTTAGGTGTTTAAGCATGGTCAAGAACCTGCTGAACACAAGCATGTCGAGGGTTTAAATGGTCCAGTAAATAGAAAATATCCAATGAGCAGCACATCTCTGGGCGAAAATGCTCAGAGCCGATAGAAAGACTAGACTAACTTAAATAACCAAGTAACCGAATAACCAAGGTTTGCAGAAGAGCAAAATTTTACAACATGTCAAACTTCAAAGCAGATGTGCTACAACAGCAGAAGACCACACTGGGTTCCTCGCCTGTCAGCAAAAAACAGGAAACTGAGGCTACAGTTCACTCAAAACTGGACAGTAAACAATGGTGAGACAAGTCTCGATTTGTGCTGTAACTTCCAGATGGTAGGGTCAGAATTTGGTGTAAACATGAATGGATCCGGTTACCTTGTATCATAGGTAATGGTATGGAGAATAGTTTCTTGGCACTCTTTGGGGACTTTAGTGCCAACTGGGCATTATTTAAACACCACAGCCTACCGGAGTATTGTTGCTGATCCCTTTATGACCACAGTGTACCCATCATCTGATGTGTCATGTCACAGAGCTCAAACTGGTTTCTTGAACAAGTCAATCAGTTCATTGTACCCACAATGCCCCCACATTTACTACATGTCAAAACAATAGAGCACCTTTGGGATGAGGTGGAATATGAGATTCACATTGTGGATGTGCATCTTTCCATTATGGACATATATATAACCTATAGACGGGGGTAAGAACTGCTTTTGAGCAAGCCTCTTCAAGAAGCCATTCAAACATACCTCACACTACCACACTGACATTGTCCTACATTTCTGACAAAAGTCATGTACTGTAAAATTAAGACACAATCATAATTGTTGCATTGTCATTGTTTACTCTTCTCCAGAGCAGAAGGAATTGAAAACGGCTCCTACAGACCTGAAGATTACACTTTGCCATCAAGCAAGTTCAGGTCCTTCACTGGCCGGGGAAGTATCTAGGTAGGTACGCAGTGTCGTCCTCCATAAATCACCTGACAAAACAGCTATATAATGCCTCCCTAAGCAATAAGGTGAAAATGTTTACTTGGGGAACATATATAAAGAATGTTTGTGTCAACATAATGCAATATTCACAAGATGTCGTCAATTTGTACGTCACCAGTAGCGTTGTCACACAGGATATTTTCCAAGGTTATTTTCACAGTGTAATATTGTAGGCTAGCAGTGAGCCGCAGCACTGTGCGTCTTATTAAATGAACCCACAGAAAACAGCATTTTCATTGAAAACATTTCAGCGATACTGCAGTTAATTAAAAGGATTACGTGTGATTGTTCAGTTTTTCTTTGAACGAGTGCAGAGGTTACATGACTGCTATGAATAAATTATAGATTAAATAGCTGAAGTTTGATTTTTATACTTGCAATATGAATCGAAAATAGTTTCAGTAGTACTTTTCCTCTTAAAACTAGCTCTCCTGTTTATCTGCACCTATGAGTTGGAAGTAATCATTGCTGCTGGAAACTCTGTGCATCTCAGTGATGTTCATGCCCCCTTTGCCAGAAGCGCTCTCGGATCCATTTTCATAACAAGCCTGCCGCCAGCTCAAGACCAGCCAAGAGATGAAATCCCAAAGCCTGCTATGGATGTTGATGTATTTCTTAAAATGAATGCCGCTAATAAAACTGCTCCCACACTGAGATTACAAAAGGGATCTTTTTAAATGAGTCATTATTCATTGTGACTTTTTTTTTTCTTTGCACAAAGAATTAAACTCATGAAGACTTTGCAGTTGTCTTTGCATCTCCTCAGATGCCATTAGTCCACGCACGTATCCATGGTGATTCTTGTACATTGCGCAGACCTTTGCTGCAGCCTCAGGCACTATAAAAACCAGCAGCTGGTTTTTTCTCTCTTTTTTTTTATAGCAAAAATGTTTATGCAGCCTCAATACTCCTAATAGAATACACAAAAGCCGAATCAGTAAAGATTCTCTTGGATTTTCATCTTTGCTGATGAAAAAGTAAAGATCATTTCTTTCCTCTGTTTGTTGTACACAGTAATAAGTTTGGACTTGGAGAGAAGGGATGATGCAACATGATGGAAAGAGATTACAGATCACAAATAGGTAAGGAATACTGGTAACTATGATCATTTACTTTGCTCTTTTTTTAACCTTTTCGTTCATATTTATTCATCAAGAGGTGATCTGATGTATATTTAAAAGGAAATTCTCACACTCTGGTAAATCTTTCTCCAGTTTTGCAGGTATAGCAGGAAACTTTTATTAACACAAACTTTTATGGCTAACCTGCTTTAACTGTGTTAAAGCAGGTTAGCCATAATTTCTGTGAGGAATAATCGGATCATCAAGTGATTGTTTTGATATTACTTCTTCATTATAGTTCCCGTTGGCCTGTGTAGTTGTTTATAACAGATGAGGTAGCGCTGTTAAAATCTGGCATCAGTAACAATGGCCAAAACACTCTAAAAGTAAAACACTCACTGCAACGAAGCTTTTTAACACAAGTTAGCTGAAAGCAGGTCTGTGAGAAAATGGAGTTATAAAGCACTTTTTTTAGCTTACCTAAGCACAAAAAGAAGAATTTTGTCCAGCCAAGAAATGATATTGATACATAAAACCTACTAAATACTATAAAACCATTATGGATTTGTATGTTTTTTGTGCAGATTAAGCAAATTAACTGATGAACTGCAGACAAAACCAGACTGGCTGTTCTGTCCTGTGTCCCATCTTTATTGTTTGAATTGTATGATATTGTATTTATTTCTTATACAGACCTAAATAAATAGATATAGTAGACAGAATACAGCTAGAAGGGAAGTTTGTTTTCTATCATTCCCAAGCGGTGTACAAAGTCACACTCTGGAAGTGTCATCACTGACTTGGTAATCAGACAGGAAAATAAGTATAAATATAAATGATAGAAAATAGTCCTTGCACAGCTTGAAGTTATATCAACACATTCTGCAGTCGTGTAATGATACCATCTGCTTATGGGTTCAGACTGGCTGTGAGAGAGACGGAGACATTCACAGACATGCAACATGCTGCAGGCTAGTCGCTAATTCTGTAAAGCAGCTGTGCAAGCAAACGATGGCTTCACACTCTTTATTGACAGCTCTCGTGCTCACTTTCTTATTTTCTCAAGTAATTGCACCTATTTGTTTTTAACAAGACAATAAAAAGCTTATTTGAAAAGGTCTAGGTGAGAGAGAAGAGGTCTACCTCTTTCCATATCCATCTCAAGGACGAGCTGATTGTCTCCGGCTAAAAGCTGCGTCTCTATACAAAACATCACCCAGGATGTCAGACGCGTGTTGACAGATTATAACTGGGGGATTCATAAAGAGACAGCCAGTGGATGGAGGCGAATTACCGCACTGCATTTGATGCACATCCAGCCAAAATGTCAGACTCGGGGCTCAAAGGCTCTCCGCATAAACAAACAAACAGCTACACACCAAGGACACAAGTGTCATCTGTCATACAAATCAGAATCCATTCACACGACACGACTACATGTTTGTCACATGAATAGCTCCATTCATTGATGTATAGAAAGAAAAGAATCATTTGACATTTTGGGAAACATTCATTCATATTTCAGAGTCTGATAAAGAGGGTCCATGCCACACAGGCAGAAAATGGTTAACTTAGTCTATTTCTTCATTAATTCTGCAAGCTATCTATATCTCTATCTATGTAACTCAATCTACTAGTGAGCTTCAGAAGACCTTCCTCCCTGATTTTCAGGTTGATTGACTAGATTTGACTGGGAAAATCCAGTTTTTATTCTAGGCTTTATAATTAGAGTAGCAGCACAACCATAGTGTCAATCTTCTCATCCAATTCTTGCCAAGAAAGTAGAATATTACAAAAAAGCAAACCTGTAAAATGCTTTTCAACTATTCACTTTTATCAGTTTTTTTTTTTCCAGCAGTACACAAGTCCATTTACCTCTGCTCTATTTGTGTTACAGGTTGCTGTGCACTAAGAAGACAGCAAGTCACACTCCTGGTGGACAATATATTTTTTTTAATGTTTTTATGTGTGCTTACGCCCTTAGACTACATGTGTATTATATATACAGACTTTTATTTATTTATTTAGTTTTGACCTGTAAAAATCTCCCAAGGTTAGAAAACTAGGATTCCTGTTTTTGGAGCTGAAAAGTCCCATTCATTTATTTTTGATATTTGAAATGCACTTTTGGCGTAATGTCACTTCTGTTCAGTATTCTTTTATTTTGCTGTGGCCTAAAGTGAAAATATATATATATATATATATATATTTTAAAAGTCTCAACACGACTGCACCTTATTTTATTTAAAGGTGCTGTCATTTGGTGGCTGTTGTCATTACCAACCTGAGTGCACCCTGTGTCTGTTCCCAGCTCTCTAATAAATGCTTCAGTTAGGGCTGCCAACACGAACATGTTAGTTCATTAAATAAGTCGAGCCCACTGCTGGCGTTCTGGCCAAGTGTCAAAGCTACTTTACGGGCCCGACCCGTCACTGCCTCCACAATACACTCCAGCAGCCAGTCACAGCTCACCTCTTGTCATTTTCAAAGTGGTAGTCATAATGAACGGTGCTGTCTCCAGCTCTACATATGGTTCACGGTGATTAACGCCTGAGATTGATAGAAGCAATACAAGCTCCCTACAATTCAAATAAATGTTCACGACTGTCTTCTTTCTGGATTTGTGTGTTCGTATTTGATTTACAAAACAATAAATCGATTGCCTCATAAACCAGTCGCACCAAACCTTCTCGCGATGTGTTCAAGTCAAACAGCTCGCAGGTTTAACGACTCAAATTTGATGCGGGTGTTCGTCTTTGTGTTATCTTTTCGGGTGGAAAGGGGTGTTGTGAATCCGCTCAGATGAACAGCAGACTTGTTTCGTCAAAATATCCACCACCCCCCTCCATTCTGACATTTGTTTAATTCATTCGCTCGATGACATAGACTCCACAGAGTCAGTCAGACAGCGTGGCATTTATCTTCCTGAAAAAAATCACTTGATCTAAATATCGGAAACACAAAGACACCAAAGTGGGTCAGGATCTAGGCGAGTACCCAGAAATGTTCAATGATGCAAAACAGAGCATGGTGATAATTCTCACACGCACAGCATTTCCTCTATCCAAGAACGGCTACCTGAGCAAACTCCGCTTTGTTTAGACAGCTGGTTTGATGAGCCAGAATAGAAAACGAGGGCTTATAATCACCAGAGTCTAAAAGAGCCTCCTCACCAGTGTAGTGCTTGTGATGAAATGGTGTGCAGAGTTAGAGCCCTGGATGTGTTTTGATCATTTTCATGTTGTTTCTCTGGCCTTGCGACAGCAGGCTGGGATCCAGGTGACAGTAGGTGTGTGCTACTGTAAGACGACTACCATAGCTGAGCTTAGCTTCCTTCTAGCACCAAAGCCCGCCCCCTTAACTTATTAGAGCTGCAGTAATTTTAGAAAGATGATGAGCTTTGACATATTATGTTGCACTATGCACATGGATCAACTAAGGAGGAAGTGAACTGAACTGCTCTTCCACACCTTCAGTGCCGGCTGAATTCACCGCAGTGTATATTAAATAATAAAGGCTTCCATTATAAAAGGAATAAAGCAACACAAGAAGTGCCTCTAAAAAAATTAATTTTCTAAGTAAATTTTGGATCCCATCGGAATTTGCTCGAGTCTCTTTCTATTAAAAATAAAAGCAGTTCTCACTGAATAATGTCTTAAAGCAAACACTGATGTCTGCATCTGTTCCCAGTGAGAGTGTTTTTAATGCATAATGTAGACATCTGTAAGCTTCTGCATACATCTCCTGTTTAAGATCACAAATATTTATGTAAAAATATCTAATATTTCCTTGGCAACTGAGCTGCTGCAGACCACAAACACATATAGTGGATAAACGGGATCAATTGTGCCTGAATATGGCGCGTGGTCTAATGATGGCAGGTGATTCATATCTCGTGTCTTTTACTAGAAACAGATATGCTTTGTGTTTAACATCCAGTCTGAATTAGTGCAGTTTTACTAATACAGATGGATATTTCCTGTCATCCTGTATTAAAAAGTCAGTGCTTTGAGTCTGCCCTGCGAGCTTGTGTAAATATGTGATATTTCGCCTTTTCACTTATCTGAAAGGGAGCTTCAGGTTAACCCTCAGCTGTTGCTTATTATCCCGATCTTCTGTATTCTTTCCCATCTCATTCACTGCTGCTTGTTACAGCATGAATATATAACCATTAGATATTCTTTTATACATGGTGTAGATTTTATTGGAGTTTTTCTCATTTAAGGTGGGCTATTCTAGTCTTAAAAACCCAAAAGTCCAATTAGCTGACAGACTACTCAAGATTGTAAAAAATGAAGCCACAGCAGGTATCTTTTTTTTTTCTCCCAGCTCTTTAATATTGCGCATACACCCATGGGTAACACTGTTGGATAAATGCTTCCAACAGGCAACACTGTAATGTAGCTGTCAGGATTCAGAGTCACAGATGTCCCCAATGAAACCCTTTTGTTTTGCCTTCATTGTGTTTTCTTTCGCAGCTTTGGAAATAACACACAGTTGTTCATTTTGATCTGGATGGCAAAAGTAAACAACAACTATTGCTCGGAGGGCAAGGTGATTCATGAGGCCCACATAAAAACAGCCAACAATTGATTCAGCCGTTGATGCAGTCAAAGTCATGTTTGAGTCTTTTTGTCCCTGGGTGTTTTAATGGAGAGCACATGACAAGTCTGCACTTCCTACAGGGAACTCTTTACAGCCAAACAAGGAAAATTAGATGTGCCACATCTCAGGAAAGAGCGTTCAGTGATGGCTTCAGCTAATGCTAAAAGTTTATATGTCTCAACACTGAGCTGACAATTAGTGTGTGCAGTACGAGCATGCTCATAATCACTCCGAACTAAATGTTGTTTTTGTAGGTCCATGCATATTAAATCCCCTGCATAACCTAAACATAACATATATACACACATATTCTGTTAGCACGTGTCCAACGTGGAGAAAATGTGGTAAAAGATGATCAATTATGTAACTTATTGAATCAAAAAATAATAATGCTGCTAGTTAAAATGCGGGTTACAAAAGCCAGACAGTTGTTAAAATAAATTACAATTTCTGTGCTAATAGAATTTATTCATAAGTTTCTCTTTCCCTTGCCTCGTTTTGCTTTTTAGTGAGCTCGCTTAATTTGCTCTTGGCAAGAAGTTGATTCTAATTTCCTATAGGAAATTAGAATAAGCACATATGCATGTATAGAGCAAAGCCTGCAAACTCGGGAGGCAAAGAGCAGTACTGATTCATAGATATGTGGCCTCACATCATATATCAAACGCACTGTCTCCATGTTATTGTCTGCTTAAGCTGCAAAATGTCATGTTAAATTTACTGCCCTCCACCACTCCAGTAAACATCCACCTGTAGGAGCCATACGTACTCACCACTCCCCAGCTACTGTAGGTTAATGCATCTCAAAGCAATAAAATGCTGTGGAAAAATTCATTCTTTTCATAACCTTACCATTAAATGACTGAAGACCATGCTATCACTGTGCTTAATTGGCCAAACAAAACCCAATGATACATTATGGGGGTTCAGGTCATACTGGGTTATTGCTATAGAAGGTTCAGACAAGCCGAAGGCCATTATCAAAGGAAGGCTAAAGTAACACCTTCATGCCACACCATAGTGATGCAGTAAGTTGTGGCACAGGAGCCCCGATCAAGTTCTGAGTGTATAAATGAACTTACATTTCAGAATTTAGAAATTTCTGTATCGTGTAGCATTTATTTTTCATTGATCTCTCTGAGTTTCATGAGCTATAAGCCAGAATCTGCATTTATGCAGGCAGACACGTTCACAATGACCTGATGAAGTGGCATAGTTGTTGTTAGCAGATGGACTGGTCTGAGTATTTTAGAAAGTTCTGATCTACTGAGATTTTTCCACATAACCATCTCTAGGGTTCAGAGAGAATGGTCTGAAAAAGAGAAAATATCCACTGGGCAGCAGTTCTATGCGTGAAAATGCCTTGCCAATGCTAAAGATCAGAGGATAACGGTCAGACTGATTCAAGCTGATAGGAAGGCAACATTAAATCAAATAACCACTTTTACAACCAGGGTATGCAGATGAGCATCTCTGAACACACCAAACCATGAAAGCACATGGGCTACAGCAGCAGCAGGCAACTGTGGGTGATACTCGTGTCAGCCAAGAACAAGAAACCGAGGCTACAATTTGCAAAACTGGACAACAGAAGATTGGAAAAACATTGACTATTAAGCCTATTGACTACTGAATCTCGATTTCTGCTATGACATTCAGATTGCAGGGTCAGAATTTGGCGTAAACAACGTGAAAGCTTTTACTATCAGCGTCTTTTAAAAGCCACAACCTACCTGAGAATTGTTGCTGACCATGTTCATCCCTTTATCACCACAGCGTACCCATCATCTGATGGCTCCAGCGGGATAACTCACCATGTCACAAAGCTCAGGTATTCTCAAACCAGTTCCTTCAGCAAATGCCCTCCACAGTCATCAGATCTTAATCCAACAGGGCGCCTTTGGAGTTCATTTAATGAATGTGCCTCTGACATATTTGCAGCACTTATGTGATGCTTTCATGTCAGCATGGACCAAAGTCTCTCATGAATGTTTCCAGCACCTTGTTGAAAGAATTAATGCAGCTCTGACAGCAAATATAGTACATACACCCACCAGTCACTAACAATGTGATATTTTTTTAATTGTCTGTTAACTATATAGGCTTACTTAGGCCTCTATGTAACCAAAGGTTAATTTTAATATAATCACAGACAGAAACAACATTCCCAAGTCACAGTTAAGGCATTACTGAATTATCCCTTCACTGCTGCATTTCTTTACTAAAATGCTCTGAGGGTTGCTGCAGCAAGCTGATGAAATCGATTACAAGCTTACATTGACTTCACCTTATCAGCGAGGGAACCCTCGGGGAAGTATTAGCACTTTGTCTCAGTGAATGTTTTTCACATCATTTTCAGGATCGAAGAAAAGCCAACTATACGGGAACTGCACACAGAGCCTCTCTGGCATTTTGAATTAACATTTCTCTCAGTTTTTCTCCGCAGACTTACTTTTCAACCATGATGTGTGAATGGCAAGGAAATGTTAACAGGCCTTTAACAGAAAATACTTCTTAGCCTGAATGCAGGCACTTGACGGATTACTTTAAAAGCTCAATTCTGTAGGTTTTGAGCCTGATTTGATTGTGATGTACACATTTTCATGTATAAAGCTAAGTATGACATAGATTCCATTGCGGGTGAAAAATATGAGTCATTAGTCAGTGAGTGTTTGGTGTTGGAATTATGCTGTAGGGTCACACTGATGTAATTCAGGAGAAGAAAAAAAGGTATCTTTTTGTAGCTCTCTCTGAAGTTGCTGGCACACATGTGAGGTCTTGACCAGCTAAGACATCAAACTACAGACAATTATGGGGCCTGGGAAAACTGCAGTTCTCTATAGCGAGTGCTGCTTCAGACCCTGTGAAGATGAAACATGCATGTGAGTAGTGCAAAAAAAAATCCCACCTCCCCGAGGGGTGCCGAGGCTATGAACTACAAGGAGGAGATTAACCAATGCAGCTGTGGGAGAGAGAGAGAGAGGTGAGCTCCTGCACCCCACCCCCGCTCTGGCTGAGATTATTTCAAAACAGATTTATTTTTTAATAAATGTTCAACGGCAGGTGTGATTTAATGGAGCGAATAATTTGTGTCAACTTCCACGGCCCAAAGGATGGTTTGTTCTCTGAGTGATGAATGCAGTGCTTTTGAGAGAATAAAAACAAACTTACCAATTTTAGAATATACTGATGTTTCACTTTATGGCATTCATTTTCTTTTTATAACTAACCATGTTTGAGAAGACAGCAAAGACCATTCCTCTGTTATCTCATTTCCCAAAATGTGCCTGACAACAGTTTACAGGGATGAGCGAAGCGGTTAAACCAGCCTGCCTTCAGGAACTTACAAAGGGATACATCGTGTAAGGTCTTCATCTTAAAGCAGGCTTTAGATTTGAATTGAACGGCTAAGAAACAATACATTTTGACAGTGTTTTCATCTTACTGTAACACCCCCTTAAGGAGGTTATCCGCAGTAAAAATAAAGGGGCAAAAAAAATTCTTTTGTATCATTCAATCTCAAGGGGGCAATCTGGTGGATTGGCGAGATCTGGCTCCTCAATTTATCAACGTCAAAGAGACAATCCAGGAGATTGCTCCCAACTCTTTCTTCCCCCCCTCACACTGCCCATCTTTCAGTTTCTTATCTACTGTCTGTTCAGACTGCTAACTCAGTGTCAGCTCACGAAGCATCAACAAGCTCCAGCTCTCCGTCTCCACCAACATCCCCCTGCAGGGAAAAGGGATGGGCACAGAGCTGGTTGATTGTCAGTGCCATTATGTCGCCCCAACATCTCACAGTCTCCACTTCCACAATTCCCTCCATTAACAAGGGGGTTCGCTTCCCATTTCCCCTTTGATGTGTCACACTCTGCTGCAGATTTGGTTTTAATATGTGTGACAGAATCCACTTAACTGGTAGTAGGAAGACGTGAGGGAGCTTCTTCTTCTTCTTTTTTTCCTGTGGAGAAACAGCAGCCATTCAATACAGACATCACATTTAAATTCAAGTGGGAGTTTCTGAGAATTAATTTAAACCAAAATCAATTATAGATGAGTTATCATCAGATATTTGCAGTAGGCCGCAAACGCATTTTTTAAAAAAAGTTTGTGTTTTTACTTAAAGGAATAGTTTGATTTTTAGAAACACTCTAATTAGCATTCTATTAGATAAGAAGCCATTTATTTTTACAAAAAAATTTTTTTACTCCCTCTTGTGATGATAACATATTTTACTTATCAAGTCACTGATGCGGTCTGAGAGAAAGCAAAGCGAGTTTGAAAATTTAAAGGTGCTCAAACTTATATTGTGATTATTTCTACAGTCGTGTGTTTATAATAATCCAAGCAGAACATGCACCAAAGCAAAACGAAGGAAAGCATTGTAAACAAAGATCTAAGTCATTTTCAAGTCAAATATGGATGCACAATATGATCTCATTAAATCCAACCTTCAAAGCTCAAATAACTCAGGGGGAAAATAACTAGAGAACGAAAGAGGGAGAGAGAAGAAAAATGTAAATGTACGTTCAGTTAAGCAAACTTTGTAGTGTTTGGGGGCGGAAATAGATGGTCACTGTTTACCAAGCCGTTTGATCCAGAACAATACGAAGAAGCGTAAAGCCAAGTCGCATGCGTGCTGCTGCTGATTAAAACATTCCTGCAGGAGCGAAGGGGATGTTTAGAGCAACTAACGCACCACTTTCACGGGTTTTGTCCAACACGAAGCGACAACGTGGCTGCAGGTAAGGAAGGAGCGAGGAGTTTGCGAGCGAAGTTAATCGCATGAGAAGAGACTCACACATCTGTCAGGTTAATGAGACAGCACCCGCAGGAATAGTGATGCATTTACATACAGCTGCAGGTGGTTTTGTGTCCAGTTTTGCAATCAAGAGTTTTGTCACGTCTCGAGGCTAATTTAGTGTTTGGGAACAATCTCGATGGCAAATATATTGTTTCTTAAATGATCATTTAGAGCCCAACATCACACTCTACAGCACTGCAAGAATTGCCAGGATTCACAAGAATGAGAGAAAATGCTGATGGGAGTGTAACTGATGCTTCCATCTGGTGTTACAATCAATACCACGCAGTGACACCGAGAGACGGTAACGGACACTCTCGGTTCTCTACATTTAGATCAGTGGAACGATGCCAACAGGTGCACGGACAAAGACATGTGGCGTGTAACACCTACAAATGTGACAAAAAAATCAAAACAAAGTAAAATGCATTTTTTAACTAGTCGTTGTGGGATAATTGAAAGAATCTCACTGTAAACACTGGTTTAGGATTATTTTCCAGTTCAATAATTGTATTTTGTGTTTGTGTGTGAAATATAAGCCACACCCATGTGGGAGTGGGGATTCCACTCTAGTCCAGCTGAGTACTGAGAGTAGTTGATTGGTGTGGATTTGGGCCCTTCTCTATAAATAGGACAGAAAGGCAGAAACAGGAAGGAAGTATGTTGTAGGACACGTTTAAAGCTGGTGAGAGAAAAAGGCATTTTAAAGGACAATAGTTTTAACCTGGCCTGGATGGTTTAGCTGCTAAAATAATTAAATTTTACTGGAAGGAGGATTTGTTTTAATTTGGGTTTATATGGATTTGTTGTGATAAAAGACTGGATTGGAAACTGCTGGTTTGTTGGACCTGTGTATTAGGAAGTTTAAGCCTACTCTGTAATTAGGGGGTGGCCAACCAGAAGAAATCGCTCACGACCTGGAGGAGAAGAGCTTTAGAGTTGTATTCCCAGGACCTGCTGTGAAAACGTACTCCTACAAATGCAAAGCCTATCAAGGTGGGTAAAAAAGCCTTTGTCGGGAAGATGCAGACCTTTTCCTGTTTGTAACCGTGGTGGCTTCAGCTTTTGAATTCCAGGCCAGAACTAAGCCTTCGCTCCTCTACTCTGCTTAGAAAGGAAAAATAAACCTTGTGTACTCTATTTTAAGTGAGTTTGGTGGTTTTCTACTCGTCACTATTAGAACTTTTTCTTTCTTCTACTGAGGCCTTTTTGTTGCCCACTTCTTAACATTGTGCTGTGCATTGGTATCCGTAGCATCAGTATTCGGATCGATCCGCTCTCCTCTAATTTAAAGCCACCAAAAGAAAGTACAATCTTTCACTTCTAAGGTTTTACATATCAGGACATAATAAAAATTATCTAGTCATTACCATACATATTACACAGTGTCATTATTTATTTAACTAAAACTAAGCTAAAATGAAGAAGCAGCAAGTACACTTCATGATTCAGTAGCTTGTAGAACCACCTTTAGCAGCAATAACTTGAAGTAATGGTTTTCTGTGGGTTTATCAGCCTCTTACATCATTGTGGTGGAATACTGGCACAGTCTTCTTTACAACATTGTTTCAGTTCATTGAGGTTTATGGGCATTTGTTTATGCACAGCTCTCTCCACGGCATTTCAATCAGGTTGAGGTCTGGACTTTGACTGGGCCATTGCACCTTGAGTTTTTTTCCCCCTTTTTCAGCTACTCTGATGGAGATTTGCTACTGTACTTGGGATTGGTAATTTAAAGAGGGTGTACTTTCTTTTTACCATGACTCAGTCTGTGCACACACAAAAAAACCATTTCTATTCTAGTGGTTTTCTAGGGCAATAATTCCCCATACACAGGACACAAGACATCACTAAATGATTTGAGAAGTATAAAATAATGAGTGCCGTATGCTACAGCCTTCGCAATCACCATCATCCACCCAGAAAGGCCTATGAGAGATTTTGGGGCACCCTGTTGCCATTCTCCACCATCATGATCAAAACACCAAATGAGGACATGTTTTAGTAGAATTCCAGAAGACTTCCAGAGGCCTGGAGAATCATTTCCAAACAGCTACCATAAAAAAACAAGCGGGTAAATGAGGATACTGAAAGAATTTAAATCTGGTTGAATTAAACATTGACTCATAAACTGAGTCCTGTGAACTTTACTGCATGCTCCGGATGATTAAAATACTCTGAACGATGAAAATCAAACAGAAATGTAATCAAAGCTCTAAATGTTGAAAACTGTGCTTAGTAATAAAAAAAACACTTTAAATAGAAATTTCCATTATCGGTCTTGCAACAGACTGCAACACAATTGTACAGTCACTGCCTTCAACTTTGCAAACTAATCTAGCAGGGCAATTTCTTTAATAAGTGTCTCCATTATTAGTGAGTCATATGAGCGCTCACGGGGAAGTGAATTTGTTGAAAATTAAAAAATATTTTCCCGATTGGTTGTGTGGCACATCAGTCGTTTTAGCTGCTGTTAGTGGCTGGAAGCAATTTTGTTTTTTACAGAAATAGTTTGTCTGCCAGAAAATTAAACATCCAAACAATGTTGGTTTTATGTTTCAGAAGGGCTTTGAGATGGAGGACAGACTCTGAATATTCTTTTCTTTTCTTTTTTTCCTTCAATATTTGGATTATACCACTTAGGTTTATTGGGAAACCACAGGAATCAGATGCTTAAATAAAACTACATTCATATTTACACACAGATACACTTAACAGCAAACCTAAAGAAAGCTTAAAGAGCTTTTATTAGACCTTTTTATTGGTCTTTATCTGCCATATACTGCTACAATGATGGATGCTCCTGTTAAAACATGACCAGAGTTTCAAATTTTAGATCAGCAAATTTACAGACAGCTCAGAACATGGTTTCTCACAGTTTACAGTCCAATAGTTTACTCACTTGGATGTGTGATGTCAAAGAGATGTGATATCCTTACCTTTCTTTGACGGGTAAAGTACAGCCAGGCACACAGCTGTGGCTGTACTGTTTTAAACTGTGAACTGTGCAAAGCAATTCTAGTATATCAGCAATAGTGACCTAGAAAGAAAGTGTAATAGATCCACTTTTAATAAAACCAACTACCTTGATCAGTTTGAACACTGTGGTCAGGTTACGTCTTGTTTTTCATTATCTTGACATTTTAGAAATGTATTAAATAGGCTGTACAGTAGTCACATGGCTAGATATACAGTTAGGTCCAGAAATATTTGACAGAGCTAACGTTTTGTACATTAATACAATGACTTTTAAATAAAACAACTCTGATGCAGTTCAAGTCCAGACTTTCAGCTTTAATTCAGTGGGCTGAACAAACATTGCATACAAATGTGAGGAACTGAAGCATTTTTTAACACAATGCCTGAATTTCAGGGCTTCAGAAGTAATTGGAAAAATGAAATAAGTGAAAATAAAATTTTCCATTCATTTCTAATACTTGGTTGAACTCCCTTGAAGTCTTGAATTCATGGACATCACCAGCTTCTGGGTTTCCTCCTTTGTAATGCTCTGCCAGGCCTTTACTGCAGCAGCCTTCAGTTGCTGTTTGTTTGTGGGTCTTGCTGTTCGAAGTTTAGTCTTCGACAAGTGAAATGCTCAGCTGGGTTAAGATCAGGTGACTACTTTGCCATTCAAGAATATTCCACTTCTTTTGTTTAATAAACTCCTGGGTTTCTGTAGCTGTATGTTTTGGGTCCATCTGTATTACAAAACACTGCCCAATCGATTTGACTGCATATAGCTGGATTTGAGCAGACGGTAAAGTAATTCTGTATGTATGCCCGAGTTCATTCGGCTGCTTCTGTTCTGTGTCACATCATCAATAAACAGCCAGTGTCACTGGCAGCCGTGCACGCCCAAGCCATCACATGGCCTCCGCCGTGTTTTACAGATGATGTGGTATGCTTTGAATCATGAGCTGTTCCATGCCTTCTTCATACTATTTCCAGAACTGAACTTTACTGAGACTTTGATCGATACGCTTTCCTCCTGGAGAGTGTTGTGAAGGGGTTTCTCTTCACCATGGAAATTATTCTGTGATCATCCACCACTGTTGTCTCCACTGGACGTCCAGTTCTTTTTGCCGAGTTTACCAGTGCTTTCTTTCTTTCTCAGGATGTATCTGTAGATTTTGCCACTCACAATATTTTAGCAATTTCTCAATGTTTTTTTTTTTTCTTCTGTTTTCACTTAATGGTGGTTTGTTTCACCTGCATGGAGAGTTGTTGTCTGTTCACAGCAAAATCTTCCAAATGCAAGCAACCCACCTCAAATCAGCTCCAGGCCTTTTATCTGCTTAACTGATAATGACATAGCAAAGAAATTGCCCACACCTGCCCATGAAATAGTCTGAGTCAATTGTCCAGTTACTTTTGGTCCCATTAAATAGAGGGTGGCACATGTTAAGAACGTTTCAGTAAACAGGTAAAAAAAACAACAACAAAAAACAACCTAAACTTGTGTCAATGTGTAAAAAATATTTGCGTCTAACTGTACCTAGTCAACTGCTCGTTGACACATATCTAATCAGCCAACCACATGGTTGAAACTTAATGCAAACATACACACATAAGTTCATATCTATCATCTGTTTCATCCAAGTCGGGAACCTCGGCATCCATCATTTTGGACATTGATCTAAGTTTTGATAATCACATCAATAAGGTCACCATAACTGCTTTCTATCACTTAAAAAATATATCCAAGGTTAATTACTGTTTCGAAGTGACTCTGAGAATTGGTCCATGTAGACCAAGTGGTAAAATTATTGTAACGCTCTGTTTGCAGGAATCCCCAAATCAGCTGTAGGCATCTTCAGTAACTTCATTGGCTCCTAGAGCAATTTAGACTTACCTTTAAAATGTTTTATATTAGTTCACAAAGCTCTCAATCTCTGACTTGCTCACTGGCTGCAACCCAGTCAGACCTCTCAGGTCATCAGATTCAGATCTTATAATTCTTCCCAGAATCAGATTTCCGTCTGCTGAAAGTGCTTTCAGTTATTGTGGTCCTGTTCTGTGCAAAAGGCTGCCTGCTGATCTGAGATCAATTATATCTGTGTGTACATTCAAAAACAGACCATTTCAATTACACATGTCTACAGTTAGCAGGTGTTGTTCCCCTTTGCTGTTTTCACTGCTCTGTGGCATTTTTTTAATGTCTTCTTGTTCCATATTAAGTACATCAAGTTCTCATAAGATGAAATGTGCTATATAAATAAAATTGCCAATTGAGGTATTTAGACATGTTCAAATGACCAGATGAAGTGGAATGGTTGTTGGTGGCAAATGGGCTTTGAGAAACTGCTTATCTGCTGGGATTCCCACTCTGTGCTTTATGGAGATTGTTCAGAAAAATGGAAAAATATTCACTGAGTGAAAGTTCTCTGGGTGAAAATGTCTTGCTGATGCAAGAGTATAATAACCAGACTGCTTCAAGTTAATAGGAAGGCAACAGCAACTCAAATAACCACTCATTACCGCCAAGGTATGCACAAGAGCATCTCACAACACATCAAACCGTGAAGTACATGTAATACAGTAGCAGAAGACCACACCAGGTGCCACTCCCACCAGCTAAAATCAGGAAACTGTGCAGCGTCAGTCTCATTATAAATGGACAATAGAATATTGCATCGTTTGGTCAGTGAAGCCTTAATTTCTGCTGAAACTTTTAGACGTTAAGATCAAAATTTGACGTAAACAGCTTGAAAACATGAATCAACAGTTTGGGCTGCTTTCGTGGTGTTGTTGTCACACAAGACCTGAACAATTTTCCAGCACTTTTCTTAATCTATGCTACAAAGCTCTGAGGCAAAAGGGAATCCAACCCAGCAAGTGCACCCAACAAAGTGGCAGGCGAGTAAGCTTATTAACAAATATAGTATTGGTCAGTTCAGCATTCAAAACTAAAATGCGCCCTGAAGTAAAACTAAGTAATAACAACATTACATCTCAGCAAACATCTTACACACCACTGCATGCAGAACGGCTCACTGACTCAGTTTTACATAATGAACGACAACTTTGACAAAACAATCTTTAGTTCTTTTAAATTGAGTTTAAAGAGTTCACTCAGTAGCTGTTTTTCTTTCGTAGCTCTAACTCACATTTCATGGTCTTGTGGAAATGGTTTCGCAGTCAAAGCAGCGACTGAGTGCATGATGAACCTTCCAATTCCATTTTTTTAAAGACAGATTTTTATATTTTTTCCACTATAAAGAAAGAGAGGGAAAAAAGCAGCATCAAGTACATGACTTTAAACTCACCAAACTAAAAATCCATCCATCAATCACCTGCTTAACTGGGAGTGAGGGGACCTCCAGCTTATCCAGCTGTCACTGGAGCTAGGCAGAGTAAACCCTGGAGAGGTTTCCAGTCTATCACAGGCCTTCACCTCAAGATTTCACTAACTTAACCTGCAACAGGCTTTTTTTCTAGAAAAGCTCAAACTTTTTAGATTGAAGGAGAAAAAACAAGGACGCTGGCTCATTTAAAAAGAACTAAACATTGCCAAATCCTCCCACTGAAAAGCTAACACTCCGTAATGACTGCAAACCATTTATTCGATCTGAAATAAGGACTGAGACAGTTATCAAATACATTTTGCTAATTTTAATACAGCTCAAGGGTGAGATGTACAAGTATGCATTATTAGATGCTATCTAATCCTTAAAAAGAAATAAACTACGTGCACGCAAATCTCCAAATTAACCAGAGCTGCCTCTGGTGAGGCGTACTGAATAACAAATGACACTGCTGCAAATTTAGTCCCCTGGGTAAAATTATGCTGCATTAGGACAAAAAGATACATCATGCGCTGAGCAGAAACGAACAATAGAGTCAGAGAAGTAATCATTACCACTGATGAATAACCTTTTGATTCACTGTGGTGCTCTTTCACATCCCAACAAATAACAATTGAGTAATTTTTTTATGTTTTCTGTAACTGGCTCATAGTTTAAGCTCAAGGTGCCTCTTTAAATTTTTTAAGTGTTAGTCAATATTATTTGCCTGTGCATGGAAAACAGATGAACTTGGGGATTTTCCAGATTGCATGTGCATTCACAAAGCCGCAGTAAAGGCATGGACGTCACTTTCCGTATGAGGCTTCTGAAACAAATGCTGCGATTACGTCTTGGATTATGTTTCTCACCCTTTGCGTAATGCACCATCCCCACAGTACACCCCTGGTCCATGTAATGACTACAGGAAGAGAAGAAATCACACAACGAAAGCAAGTTCATGACTAATGATTGTAAATCCATTTGAAGGAGATAAACAGTCCTAGTCAAGTGCCTGCCCACAGTCTAAGAAAGTGCCAGCTTTGTCAGATGTAGTCATGCTCCACCAAATATTAAACATCAAGGGTCTCTTGCTGACAGCAGCCCGGCTGTGCACTGTTATCCAGTTGCCTTATTACACTGAATAAATCCTCTCCATGTCAAGCACCATGCTTGGATTTTAAGACCTAATTTAATTCCAGCCATGTGCAGCTCGGGCGCTCTGATGTTTAAAGTGAGAGACACTGATGCAGGATGCTTTGCATATGCCAGAGGAAGTCGTGAAACAGAAATGTGCATTAATGGTACAAATTATTATGTTTTGGTCATCATCAGGGACATTTGGCTTAAATTCATCTATGATTAAATTACAGATTGAGGTTTCCACAAAATGACCCAAATGTTTCCTCCAGCCTCCTGAAAAATGCATTTACATTCATAAACTAACACTGCTGTCCCTCTAATTGGATCCAAAGTTAGCAGTCTGGTAAAGTGCATAGTATGAGGGGAGATAAGAGCACAAAACTGTACCTCCTAAAGAACTGAGATTGGAGGAGTCTGTGTTGCTAATTCCACAGCAGCACAAAAAGGTTAAGACTTTTAGACAGCCACCTTTTTATTTTTTTTAAACAAATTACTGAACTGAGGCTCAAGAGGAAAGTGAGGAAATATCTCTTGACCACGTATGCTTTGAATAAATTGCATTGTGCACTAGGAGGCAATATTCCAAGGCAGCATAATACAAGTGTGGAAATTGTTTATTTTCAT